TCATCTATCTTTTTGAACAGAATATTAAACAGTCTTTTTCAAGACTCTTCGTTCCTTGTTGATCATTTATTAGAACAACATACAGGTAAGTTTGAATTACATTTAATAACCTCAAATGTATAAAAATTGCATTTATTAATTGTTAGATATATACGGATAAATATATACTTTAGTTGAGAGGAAAAACAAAGCGGGATCTTCAAAAACATCAAAACTGTTGTCGCAAAATTTTCAAATAAAGATAAAATATATTTATTAATGTTTGATGAAGTGAAATAAACACCTCACCTCGATTACAATGGCAAGGTAGATTGCATCTACGGTTTTGAGAATTATGAGGAGTTGAAATCAAATAAATCCGACGAATATGCTCTCGTGTTCCAACTACAAGGAGTTGCAAGAAAATGGATACAACCCGTGGTATACATATTGCCTGGTGGACCTGCAGAAAGTATTAAAATAGCGAATTTGATTACGCAAGTGATCAGGGCAGCAATAACCAGGGTGATTGCGACGGTATGTGATCAGGGCAGCAATAACCAGACAATCATTTAATTGGAAAGAATGCAGAAAAAGTAATAAACATAGATGGAGACGTTATTATCCCCTTGTTTGACCCACCCCACCTGATTAAAGGGATAAGAAACAATCTCCTAAACAAAAACTTGATGTGGGAGGAAAATCCGATAAAATATACCGCCCAGTAGGCGCCTATTATATCTGCATATAAAATTGATGTTGCCAGTGGCCATCTGCGGGCATTGAGAAAAGTTACAGACCAACATGTTTTGCCAGATAAGCTGAAAAAAATGAAAATTTCATGTTGCACACAAGTTCTAAGCCATACAATGGTAGCCACAATTGCGATAATGGCACGTAATAGTAAGTATTAGGTAATCAAAGAAATATAGTTATTTAATTAATTACGTTAAATTCCCAGGTGAAATGAGTTTGGATGGGCGAAGAGTGATGGAGAAGAATGGTGAAGAAACGGCCAATATCAAAATTTTTTTGATAATTTGATTCTTTAAATGGATCCAATACTTTTAATAAGGAAGGCAAGCCATTGAAAGCGACATTATCAGCAAAAACTGGACATGAGGAATTTTGGAGAAAATCTATAAGTTCACTGGAAAACATGTATTTTGTGGATAAAAATTCTGTAAAAGTAATTCCACCCACACTAAAAAATTAAATTTTTACATTAAAAAATTTCATTAGATAAATTGTCCACATCACTTCGTAAATCAGGACTCCAATTTTTCTTGGCACGGCGATTCAACCAGGATGCACTCGAAATTTTTTTTTTGGCATATTTGCCAGCACCGAGGTCGAAATATTAATCCAAACGCTAGACAATTTAGCGAATCATTTAGATTATTATTAGTGCGCAAGGTAGTAAATAATCATTCCTTGGGGGGGAATTGTGAAGCAGGTAGCGATGTAAATTTATTAACTTTAACAACGTTTTTTACGAAAAATGAAGATATTAATCAGCCATTTGAGTCACTAAATTTACTTCAAACTACCATCAGTATAGACAAAATTCAACGAGGAATTGATATATCTATATTTGGATATGTGGCGGCTATGTTGCCAAAAAAGCCACAGCTTAATTTAAGTGTCAGTTCTGTAAACTACATATTTTGGAAAACAATCCACAAAAAAAATATAAAGCAAACAAACTGATATTTTGCAAAAAATCATTTTTTTCAACTTTAATAAAATGCTATGAAATTGCATTAAATATACTGCATAATCATTTCGTCAGTAGTACTAATATTTCAAAATTTATTATTAAAAATATTTTAGATAATGTTACATTTTCTTTTCTGTGTGATCATCGCGAAAAAATAATTTACTATATTTTAAATATATTTATCTACAACTATTGAATTATCTATTCGTTATACAATTGATTTTTGACGGGTAATGACACTCATTACCCATGACAGACAAAGTGTTGAATAATGAGGCCATTATTCCACACTTCTGACACTGCCTACTAATCAAAAAATAAAATATTAACAGAAATGACAGCTTTCTTATATTGAGGTTATGTCTGAAATGTCTATCAAGTTTATTTTTTTTTCGTTTTTTTGATTTTTTTTTCAAAATTAAATAGTTGTAGATAAAGTATAGTATTCAACTTGCGTATAATGGATGTTACCCACTCAGATTACAACACTCGCTCGCTTCGCTCGCTCGTGTTGCAACTTCTTCTTCGTGGGTAACAGCCGCCATTATACGCTTGTTGAATAATATACTATTATCTACAACTATTGAATTATCTATTCGTTATACAATTGATTTTTGACGGGTAATGACACTCATTACCCATGACAGACAAAGTGTTGAATAATGAGGCCATTATTCCACACTTCTGACACTGCCTACTAATCAAAAAATAAAATATTAACAGAAATGACAGCTTTCTTATATTGAGGTTATGTCTGAAATGTCTATCAAGTTTATTTTTTTTTCGTTTTTTTGATTTTTTTTTCAAAATTAAATAGTTGTAGATAAAGTATAGTATTCAACTTGCGTATAATGGATGTTACCCACTCAGATTAC